AAATAAATAAATAAATAAATAATACTGTTAATTTGACTTCAGTTTGTTTTGCACAGTAGGTAGACTAGATTTTATTCCCGGTTCTCTGATGGGGGCTTGCCATTTTTCTGTGTAACCTCTTTCCCTGACAAGATAGGAACCCTCAGTTTCAAAAGAAGGCAGTGAAGAAAGAGAAAATGCTGAGTACCTGCCAGCTCCTTGTTTGATGAGTTGCGACTGAAAATCCAACCAACAGTTGCCAGGGGTAGAATGTGAAGCTTAGATTCCTAACTTGTGTTTCCAGCCTACATTTTGGAACTCACTTTTAAGAAACAGACCTGAGATGGACATCTGCCATTACTTTTGGAAATTCCATATCGTTTCCCCCCTCCCCTTGCACTATCAAAAATATATTGCTGCACAGCCTGATGAGGAGTAATAATATAGGTCAAAAGCTAGGATTTTTTAAAATACAAATTATCTAATAAAGGTATCACCTGCTCTTGCTTTTGTATTTAATATAGTAAGTTGCAGTTAAGAGCAGAACCCTTTCAATCAATGGAACTTATAGAGGAGTTGACTCACCATATCCTCCTTGATCAATGGGCCTACTTCTAATGGAGTTTATTATACTAAGCAACAGGATTTTGTCCAATGTGTGTCTGGAGACTTGGAAAGATAATTGATCTGGGACTCCCTATAAATGCAGTACCTCATACGTTTTTTTCTTAATAAACACTCTAATTCTTAAATTTATTCACTAATGGTGTGAGAAGGAAGACAGAACAATGAATCCTGTTGGTGTGCTAAGCCCTCTTCCCTAAGAAATGGACAGTTATGAGACTTCCAGTTCCCCAAAAGAGACTGTTGTCAAAAAAGAGGTTTGGAATATCCTGCTAGACTTAACAACCCAGGGTCAACAGAAAGCCCAAGAAAAGAATAACCAACAGAGGGGAGGAGCCTGCAGGATAAAAGAGAATAAAAAATGAACAGAGACAGAAGTGAGAGAGGCGAGAAAGAACCATCTGTGGGAGGAAGAACCACCTGTGGGAGGAGAGGACAAAGAGTCAGGAGTCTATTATTGAAGAAAGGGAACAAGGAAAGTTTATTCTCTAGGAGAGGGTAGGAATGGGGGAAGACCACCTGAGGGAGAAAAAGAAAAGCTATAGAGGATAATCCCCAGTGCAATCTGAAGGCCAGGAGTGGGTCACAAAAGAAGACCCATGAAGGGGGGGGGGAGGAGGAGGCAGAAAGGCAGAAGTGACTTCAACCCTGTAAACCCTCTTTCTGGAAGAAAGAGAAGAGCTTAGATAATTAGAGCGACAGGGAGAATCAAGTGGGGCAGTCCTCCCGAATAAGAATGGCTTCCAGAGCCGCCACCATGTGATGAGACAGGAAGACGAGAAGAGGGAGAGAACCCTGGGGGTTGCTGGGACCAACACTCATGTCACAGCAGCCTATGCTCAGGTCCACATTAGCCCCTTTGTCTGGAGTCAGAGGAAGAGAATAATGAGTGAGGCCCCCCACCATAGATACTAAAGTGTGGACTGTTCAAGGAAATGGTTTTGTTCAAATACCAAATCTGGAACCTGAAGTTGAACCTTTTGAACTAGTTGTAAAGATGTTATCAGTTATGCTAAATAAAACATTGCATTTAAAGCAGAGCAGTTGTGAGTTTGGAATTGGGGGCAGCCTCCATCAGGGAGACAGAACCCAATCACAGATGGAATAAAACTCATAGCATCTCTTTTCTTGCTCATGATATAGTTTCATGAGTAAAATATTGCATCCAAAAGGGTTGAGATTTTTTAAAAAACGTAATCCTGAAATACACCAGAAATACTCATTAACTGTTCGATACAGCTGGAATATGTAAAACTGTAGATACGTTTTAAAAGATTTGTCCAAAGAGGCACATATAAATCCTGGTTTTATGGTTGTTTTCAAGTTTGTACAAGAAGTAGGTGGGTATGTGCACAGCAAGGCTAGGAATGAATGGTCTCAAGAGTACTGTACTGTATTGTCAATGTATATTGAATCTGATCAGGTACTGAGTAAGTGCAATGGGTTGGATCCAAACGAGATAATATTTGAAGTGGTTTTGTGAATATTAGTAAGATTTAAATTAGTGAAGTCAGTAATAGTTAAGTTGTTCCCAACCTGACAGCACAGAACACACACATGGAGTTAGGCGCATTAGAGAGGTGAACTGAGAGACAAGTGCAGAGAAACTAAGATAGTGCAGGAGAAAAAAGAGAGTTACTGTAAAAAATGTCTCACCCTTGGTCAAAGACACAGAAGATGGAGTACTAGTTAAGTATCCAGAGAAGCTTAGACTTGTCTTGTTTTGCACCTGTGGAAGTGTCTTGCTGATGTCCAAAGGCTGGTTTCCTGGTTTTGCAAGTTCTTTTATTTCTTGCATTTAGCCTAATTTTATTGTATGGTTTTTCTAATCTTTTTTTTAAAAAAATCTTTTTCAATAGCTAACTAAAAGGCTTTTGATCTGGAAATCATTTTCAAGGACTTCAAATTCTAGATCCAGTACCTAGCACAGCTATTGAGAGTTCTGAGAACACATTAAAACAATTTTGGTTGCCCATGGAAAGCAACATGGAGGGGGCAGCTAATTTCTCCCTTGAAAGCATAAGGGAGAGGAAACATATCTCAATCTCCTTTCCAGAGTTTAGTTAGGAGCAGAAACTTCTTGAGTAGTCTGCCCAACTCTAGGGAAAAGTGCAGAAGCACAATATTGATACAAATGAATACAATGTACAATAATGAACAAGCCACTTAAGGATACTTGCCAATTAATCACTTCCTCTGCTCCTCAGTAGATAGATGGGCAGGGGTCATGAAAATTGTTTAAGACTGCCTAATGGACTAGTGTGTGGTGTAGTAATGGATAAAATGATGAATGCGCCAGGACTCTGGAGAACAGGGTTCAAATCTGACTTGGTCATGAAAACACGCTGGGGGAATGTAACTGGTAAAACCACTCCTTAAATACTTCACCTTCAAAATCCTGTTAGGGTCTCTATAAATCAGACCCAACTGGACTGCACAGAACACACAATAAGACGACGTACTGCTGATGTGTTGCATTGCAGCGGCGACTTCAGCTGCAGGCGGTTTCTAAGATAGGCTGCTGGAGTGATTTCTGTGTGAACATTAAAATCACTCAAATGAAGCCCCAAAGGATCCCATATTACCTCGCTCTCTGCCGCTAAGGTAGCCGCAGCCTTTAATTTTCCCCATAAAGTAACTGCAACACCACGGACGCGGCTCTAGTCGATTCCTAGAGTAGCATTTTTCCCAAACTTGGCCGGCGTACAATGAAGTAGAATGGTCTTGAGTAGACCGCCCTTTCATAGGGCGATCATTGCTTTAATCCCATCGCATTCGCTTTTCTCCCTCTCTTAGTTTTTCTAGGCCTCCTTAAAAGTGACGCTTTTGAAGAGCCAGGAATTCCTGTCTCCTCGTGTGAAGGCGCTTGCGAAGTCACCGCCCGAGTGCAAAGCCGGGGGAAGGGCCTTCGCGAACACCGTTGCTCCAAAAAAACAGCGCCCCGGCGGTCTGCCAACCCACGGAGGAGCGCAGCGTATTTCTATCCCCCCCCCCCCGTCCCTTGCACTCGTTTGAAATTAAATACTCGCTTACCATTGGTGGGCTCTGTGGCGGCCATAAAAGCGCATGGGACGCCCAAAGCGAGGAGAGAAGGGCTCCTTCCATTGGCTGAGGCTTCTCCCTTCGGCGCATGCCTGTCCGGGCGCCAGAGAGCCCTAGGCTTAGATTGGCTGTAAGTGCCTTGAACGCTCTGTTTCTGATTGGCGGCGGCGCTAGGTTTGAATGCTGAAGTGGAGGTTGGGGGGGGGTGTGGTGGAGCGCGGGAGTGGCTGTCGCGTCTGTCAGGGGGACCGGTGGCCGTGAAGTCGGGTGGCGAAGGAAAGGTGGGGTGGGGTGGGAAGCCAAGGCGGGCGCCTCGCCGGCGGTGCCTTCCTGTCGGGCCATGGCGGTAGGGAGGCAGTCCGTGGAAGCAGCCGGACTCGGGGAGTTGAGTTCTCCTGGAGCAAAGGGACGGCGGCGCTGGACCGTCGCGGAAGGCTGCGGGCGGGAGGAGGAGGAATGCCCCGCCGTGCTGTCCCTCAGCCACTTCTCCCGGCCGCCCTTCCTCAGCTTCGGCTCTGTCCGGGTCGGCACGTCGCGCCTTCGCCGTCTGGCCGTGGAGAACCCCAACGCGGAGCCGGTCCGAGTGGCCGTCTGCCGCCCTCCGCCCGCCTCGAAGGGCTTCAGCGTCGAGCAGCAGCGCGGCTCCGTCCTTCAGGTGCCTTTCGCCCCGGAGAGGGGGGGGGCGGCGGCGATGCAAATGATCGCCTGGACCTTTAGATAGCTTTTGTTCTGGGACAAAAAAAGGGGGGGGTCGGAGTAGGGATCGGTCATCTTCAGTCATGACGGGATCTACGATGACGCGTTGTTACTCCCACTCCTCAGGCGAAAGGGCTCCCGGGGTGGCTTATATCCAGCGTGCAGGGGGAAAAATCAACTTAACTGTCTAATCTTCTGCCGGGATCTGGTTTATTGGGATCTTCCTTCATAACAAGCGTGGAAAAGATTAAGCAGTGGTGGCTTTATTAATAATCTGATTAGTCTTCTACTCTCCGTCGATGCCGTGGCTGGCAAGGCTGATTAATGGCTGGTGTCCAATGGCTCTCTCTGGATAGCCCATTTTGAAATTAGCGCTGTTATGAATTTTTGGATGCAATACCGTTGGACACATCTATTGAGTGAATACAAGGTTTTTGTAGCTGTAGGAACGTTATACTGTACTTAGACCACTTTCTGAAATCATTAGAAAATATTTGTAAAGGGGAGGGGGAGCCCTACCCTGCCCTCAAGAAATGGTAAAGTATTTTAATCATCTGTCTGTGAGGATGGATTACAATTTAGGGAAGAGACAACGCAGTGTTTCAACCCTATGAGCTATATGCTGTAATTCTGTTTGTTGGTTTTGCAGATGATTATAGGCAGCTATGGGAATGAAGTTATTTGTCTAATTTATGCAGTCAATATTTGGGAAGCAGAAAAAGGATTTATTATACTTAGTAGTTTCATGCAAGGCGACTCACAATCTTTATAAAAGGTAGGGGGGAAACCCTCCAAAATATTAAGGAAGATCACTGTCAGAAGCTACTGGCTATGATGGTTAACTGTGCAACCCAAACATGTTTATTCAAAAATGGTGGAGTAATATTCCATTGTAAATGTTCCTCTGTGGCAATACTTCCTAGTATGATTTTTTAGTATGGCAGCTTAACTGAAAGATTCTATATCAAACAGAAAATGTATATTTAATAATGTGCATGTCAGTATGTCCCAAATACCTGTACAGCCTGCTCTCCAGTCTGATGGGAGGATAATAGTAATCTGTGCTACATATTTGTGCAGGACTTTGGAGTCTTTGGAATATGCTGAAGTTTTTCTCAGTGAGATTTCTAATATAGCTGTGTACTATTCCCTTGTGAGACTGAATAAACAAGGACTGTTTTCTCGTTAGTGCTTATTATTTTTAGGGCACAGTGTTTTTCTGGTGCAGGATAGGGTTTTGATCCTGCTGTTACATTGGTTACTGATCAACGTTGCCTATGGCTTATGCTTTTTGATCCTGCTGGTACGCCTTGACATAGTTGTTTGAGAGCAATATTGCAGATTCTTATTTATATATTTTATGGATATGACATTCTGGCTGTTAAATATTTAGACTTCAGTTGTAGCATAAAAGGAAATATAAAATGATTGTGCAGCGTTTATATGTAAGTTGACACATTGTATAGATGTTCCTTGTATTTGATATTTCATGTTTTTCTTTCATAGCCTGGAGAAAGAATATTCATTTCAATAACATGGACACCTCTGGAAGGTGGCAAAATTCGGGAACTCATTACTTTTATTGTAAATGATGTTGTGAAACATCAAGCAGTTTTGCTGGGCACTGCTGAACAGCCTGTAAAGAAAAAAGTGAGCAATGCTTTAAAATCATTTTTATTTTGTTTATTGTTGTAATGAGACAATGTTCAGGCTTTTGCTTCCAAAACGTACATCAAGTTGCATATTATTCTGTAGCAGATTTTAAAAATTCTTCTTTGTAAACCATTGGTGAGATTTATTTATTTTTTGCAACTAATGTTTGAATCAGTGGGAGCCAGTCTTTGGTGTTGTCATAGGCCTGTGAACTACAAAGTGTCTGAGATAATCTTAGAACTGCAGAGCTGGGAGGGATACTGTGGATCATCAGATCCAGCTCCTGTCAAGGAGGCAGAGTGGGGAATCAAACTCCCAATCTCTGGCTAAACCACTGAGCTATCCAGCAGTTCCTGTTGCTTAGCATAGCAAGCTGTACTAGAGTAGACTCACTGGATCAGTGAGGATTTGGTGAGTCAACTCTTTAGTTCCATTGATTCAAACGAGCCTACTCTATTTGTGACTTAATTTAGTGTAGTAAGTTGCAACTAGAATAAGCTCATTTGAATTCTCTAACAGAGAAGTTGACTCACCAAATCTGCACTGATTCAGTGGATCTACTCTGGTGCTATACTAAGCAACAAGATTCCACGCAATGTCTTGAAAGGCCCAATAATTGTGTATTTATTCACACTGGCAGTTACTTTTAGATAATAAAAGATTATTATACAGCAGCATCAAGAATAGTTAAAACTAAGTCTTACATACAGTACTAAGAATTTATTAGGAGAATAAGGAATATTTCCTCTACCAAATTCTTAACACGTGACACTTGGTTTGAACCATTCTTGAGCTTGCTGTATGTCTTATTATACAAGATTTTAACAGCCTTTGTGACTAAATGTGTAATAGAGATTTCTGTCTGCATTTGAAATACAGATTTCATTGCCATAATTGTAACAGATTGCTGCCTTTATCAAGCGTCACCATAAACCATGCCATTGGACATGATTATTATATCATTTGTAGAAAGACAAAACATTTTGAATGGTTCTTAATATACGCGTATAAATAATTATTTAACCATATTGGCCTTTCTTTCAGAGGAATCTTTGGGATACAATAAAAAAGAAAACACCTTCACAACGTCCACAGCGTAAGAAAAGACTGCCCATCATTAAAAATGTTAACAAAACTTTTCAGATACCTGAAAAAATGGACAGAGGTAGAAGCCCACTTCAGTCCTGTGAGAATATGGAAATGAATAGAGGTAGCATTTCAGCTGATGAAAATTCTTTAATTCTGTCAGAAAGTAAACTCTCTCTCTCTCCTATTAGTCCCATCATGCAAGAAAATCAGCATATCACTTGCACTCCTGGCTCAGTGAGATCAACTACTTATTCTGTGCTTGGCACAGCAGCTTGTGATGAGTTACTAAAGGATATAAAAGAAACATGTAGTGTTATGCCACTATGCAACTATCTTGTGGGAAAAAAATTAGAAAGTCCACATAATGTTAACTCCATGGGAACACATCTTTCTCATACAAATTCAGTTTGCACACCAGAACAGAGACTGCATACTCATTTGAATCACAGGAGAATTTTAAGCCCTGATTCCTTTGTAAGTAACAGCTATGAGCTGGCTGAAGAACCAGCTGCAGCTGCAAAAGTGCCAATTCTTTCACCTGATCAGTTTTTAAAAGAGAATCAAATAGCCATTCAGCCAGCTTTGCAGGTACATAAATCTGTATTTCTTTCTTCGAATGTGGACTCAAGTATGTCAAGGACAACTTTTCCAAGACAAAAAATGGAAAAGACACAAGTAGTGACTTTTTCTGTGGATCCAAAGTTTTCAAACAAAGCATTTAATGACATAAACAATAGCAAGTCTGCAACGCTTAAGGACGATAAGTTTGAAGAAAAGATCAGCAGGTTCAGGAAAACGGGCAAAGACCAGACCTCCTATGTCCAGAAAGAACTCTGCAGAAAAAAGCCTGTACTTTCCAGCACTGTTACCAAAAGTAAGCCAGATCCTCCTAATGGAAAAGAGATGGTGCTGAAAGCAAAATCTAAGAGATGTCTTTCTAATGCAATACAGCAATGTGTCAATACTCCTGAAGGTACAAAACTGCAAATACTGCCAAGACTTCCAGTTATAGAACCACTTTCAGGTGAAGTGAAATGTCTTGAAGATAAAACAGCTTCTGCATGTTTGGAAGTAGCTTCGTACAGCCGTAAAAGAAAAAGTCAAGAATATTTAATAGATCCTGATAACAGAAGTGAAGCATATGGAGAAACTGTTAAAACAAAAAAGATCCAGATATCTTCTGCAGAAAATGGAAATAAGATTGGTTTGAAAACATCACTTCCCAAGCCTATGAGCAGAGAGAAGCGAGGCCAAACAAAGAGATCTGGTAATGTAACATTGTTTCTGTTTTTAATGTGTTGAAGAAAATGTTTCCATAATATGGTGACAGGGCTTGGTATATGGTCTCTGTATTGACAGTATTTGAAATAATGAAGTCTGTGTGTATATTTTTATGTTTTCCCAAACCAACAAGCACATACTAACTTTTATTTGACATTTTATTTGATTTCAAATACCAGCACCACTTTTGGTCTTATAATTTAAATTGAAATAGGGTTAAGCTGTTTATCCAGAAACTGTGTGGCACCCTTTCACAAAAGCTCTTGTTATCATCATGATAAGAAATCAAAGTTTTGCTTTCAACAAGCTCATTTTTCCTTGTCTTGAGGAACAGAGATCAAAATAAAATTGAGAGAACTGGGTGTTTTTGTCCCAAATTTCGTTGTCACTGGTACTTGCCTTACCCTGAAGGCGAGTGAAAATATTTTCTCCTGAAAGTACACACAATTGTTTTGATGAGGCGAGGGAAATGTTCTGCTGTGTCAGGGACAATACACCATTCTCAGGTTAAACTGGGCATTGGGAATTGCTGAAGGACTTGAAGAAATTTACATTTGACACAAAATGATAGATGTAACTCTTTCTCTTGATTTTTCCTGCACCTGCCAAAGAACTGCCACGATACGGAATGATTGCTTACCATAGCAAATGCAACCTGTGAATTAGAAACAACAGAGGAACAAGATTTAGCAGAAATAAAATTCAATTAGGGCTTGCCTCTTCTTTCTCAGCATGGAGACAATGTCTAGAGATGATCTGTAGCTGGGGAGAGAAGTATATAGACACTTGTAGAATAAGATAATGTAGCTTTATGTTCTGAGAAACAGTACAACAGAATTATCCTTTGCTTGCACGATTTCTTAGTCATTTGCTTTCTTCCTAATCTATTGTGCTTGTTTCTAATTTTCAGGCTCCTTATCTCAGAAATTCAAGACTGCAAAAAGAACTAAGAAAATAGTTCCTGTTTCACAGTCCCACCTAACCTTTGTGAAACCTTTAAAAACAGGTGGAAATATGTTATTGCTCCTTTGTATTTTCAAGCAGAAAGAAAAGGCTTCTCCATACCTATTAACATTTCAACATTTTTCCAGAATTTATATATTTTAAAGAATGGTGTGTAGTTGTCTTCTAGAGCAGTATTTTATTAAATAATAAAAGGCTGCTGATAAATATGCCTTTTACTTTTATTTCATAACTGGAAAAATGTACATATTAATAGAGAATGGTTACATCTGTGCAAGAGAGAGAGCGTGATATAGCTGGTAGGATGTGATATAGCGGGTAGGATGCAGGTGACCATGGTTCAATAATAATTTCTCATCTAAGTTCCACCTGCATATTGTGGTGAGATCATGGTACAGTGGTGCCTCGCTAAATGATGATAATCCGTTCCACTGAAATCGCTGTTTAGCGAAATCATTGTCTAGCGACAAGCAAATCATCGTCTAGTAAAAATTGGTTTGCGAAGCAGGGACCAAACATTGTCCAGCGAAATTCCCCCATAGGAATCACTGTTTTGCGAATCGCTATAGCGATCACAAAAAGTCAATGTCTAGCAAAAAAAAAAACTGTCATGCGGGGTAACTGTCTAGCGAGGCACCACTGTATGGCATACCTCTGCTTTGTCAGAGATCTGCCCATTTTGTTAGCAGTCTTCACTGATATTGTGGTTGCATCCTTGTGTATGAAATGGTACCTATTGACTTTGAGTAAGTTTCTGCTTGTATTCTTATGAGTGTAGGCAGTTTTTAATATGGAACAAAGAGCTTTTATAGATTTTACTCCTATAGCTGCTGACCTGTGGGAATGGTGGATGAGGAAACAAGTATCAAGAGAGGGCAAAAAAAAAGGATAGGGTGAAAAATTAGGCACTGTTCTTATACTATAGGAGTAAAGCCGGAGGAGGTTAAGTCTTTATTGATGATGCCAAAGGAAAAATGAAGGACATGAGATGCAAGATTACTGGCTGGTGATAGAATTGTTTCATTGTCTGTTCAACTGTCTCTGTGTTGGTTGTTGTGGGTTTTTCGGGCTCTTTGGCCGTGTTCTGAAGGTTGTTCTTCCTAACGTTTCGCCAGTCTCTGTGGCCGGCATCTTCAGAGGACAACACCAGAGCACAGAGTGCTGTCCCACAACAACCATTAGATCCAGGCCGTGAAAGCCTTCGCCAAATACATTGTCTCTGTGTTCCTTATTTTGTTTCCTTTCTGTATTTGAGTATTAATTCTCAGTGGTTCAGTTACAGAACAAATTTAACTTTTAATTATTTGAAAAGATATTCCTAGGCATCCCATGCCTTTTGTGGCCAAGAACATGTTTTTTGATGAGCGCTGGAAAGAGAAACAGCAACGAGGTTTCACTTGGTGGCTGAATTACGTACTTACTCCTGACGACTTTTCTGTAAAAACAGACATTTCACAAGGTAAAGTGGATTTAGAGAATCGTAATCTTTCAAAAAGGATACACTTATGTAGAATTACACAGACTGCATCATTTATGTGTACATACCTTTACTTCTAAGCCTTCTATTAAAAGACTTGCTTTAATGAATCTGCCTGCCCATTAAGATTAGCTGGTCAGGTCCATTTTTATGTCTTGCTGATATAGAAATACCTACCCAAGGAATTTATCTGTCATCCACCCTGATACCATCCTAATTCATTGGGAGATCTTTTTAGTCTGATAAGCAGTTGACCTAGTGGATATGAGAGTATTATTTCTTGTGGCTAGGAATATGGAATTTGTTTTCTGGAATGATTATCTGATGCCTTGTGACTAAGTGGTCTGTTTGACTTTTAGCTGTTTGATTTTTAAAAAATTATATGAGCAGTTCTGCAAATTACTTAAGTTTGAGTCAAAAAAAGAAGAAGACATTTGTAATCAGGCAATAAGCAATGGTTATTGTTGTAAACTGTAGTAAGAAAATCCAAATATTAATCAGCAAAGTTTACAATTCTAGTTTCTTTTGCAAGTAGTTAACATCAGGAAAATAAGCAGTTGATACCTTTTACTGATTAGGTGATAAGACACAAGATTTTTTTTTGTTAAGGGCCAGTATACAACCCAAATTAAAACACGTGACTCATTATTGTACAGTATATTCTGGAAAAGCAGTTTCCCTTTACTGATATACATAGGCTCAGGAAGAAATGCATAGAGGAGTGTTGTACAGTGGTGCCCCGCAAGATGATGTTAATTTGTTCAGTGAAAATCACTGTCTTGTGAAAACATCATCTTGCGAAATGCAGTTCCCAATTGGAATGCATTGAAATCTCTTTAACACGTTCCAGTGAGGAAAAATGTCGTCATTTTGCGATAATCGCCCATAGAGAAACCATTTTGCGAAGCGCGGATCAGCTGTAAAAATAGCTGTCTTGTGAAAAATGGTCACGAAAACACCCGTTTTGCGAGTCGCGGACTCAGCTGTCAAAATCGTTGTCTTGCGAAAATCGGTTCACAAAAAAAGTCTTACGAAAATCGGTCTGAAACATCATCCAGCGAAAATCGCCCATGCGAAACACCGTTTTGCAAAGCACTATAGCGATCGCAAAAACTCATCATCAAGCGAATTAACCATTTTGCGAGGTAATTGTCTAGCGGGGCACCACTGTATGTGCTAAATTCATAATATGAAAGAGCAGGGAAAAAGCAAAAAGGAACCTTATTTAAAATAGGAAGGTGAAATATAATTCTTTTTTTCTTTGTTTTTAGTGTAACAGTTCAATTCCCTACAAAATTCAAGAGCAACAAAAGCATCATATTCTCATAGAAACAATAAAAGCATGGTGTAACAGGATAATATAGACACTTTTACTAGAAATTCACTGTATTTTTCCATGTATATAACTTTTTCCTAAAATAATTAGAGGAAAATTTGAGGGTCATTTTATACGCAGAAGGAAGTGGAGGCAAAAGAGCAGCTATGCTTGGCCACTTCTCGCTGCTGCCTATTGACTGCTGCCACCACTGCCAGATCGCCTCCTCCAGCATCACTCATGGGCTACCTTTGCACAGGGGACAAGGCGGCGATGTGAGCTGGAGGTGAGCCCCGGCAGTTGCACTGCAATGGGCGGTCGGGCAGCGGAGGCTGCAGAAGGTGGAGGAGCAGCCGCGCTGGGCTGCCCCTCGCGGCTGCCCATTGACTGCTTCTCCACCAAGGGTCAAAATTGCATTGGGGGGTTGTATACATGGAAAAATACGGTATTTTGAAGTGATATTTAATTTGAGGCACTTCTTGTGTTTACATGTACAGAACTTTTAACTGAATATCTCTTTAGTCTTGGTACTATTAATACTCTTTAATGCTTGATATTTTCTGATAGGTATTTAGGGATAGGATTTTATTTTGCCACAAATGGAAAACAACACTGAAGGCACTCATTGTTCTACGTTTCCTTCATTCATTTTACCTCCATTTTACTCATGTATGTAAAATCATCCCACTAATTTCCCCCCATTAAATTGTGTTTCAAGTATAATGACAAAGGCAGCTGCCAGTTAGAACTTAATGGCTACTTTCAGGATTTGAAGGGTGGGAAGGTGTCACTTTCTCTGCCGTGAGCAAGCTTGTCTACACCTAGTTATCATTCTACACTCCTCCAATGCCAGCCCACTCTCTTGCCTCTTTGGAGAGGATTTCATATCCAGCAGCTCTTCTTCACCTCTAACTGCAGAAAGATACTAGCAAAGGGTAATGTCCATCCAGATAATTTAAGACAGGGCACATTCAGATTGGTATATAGATCACTGTTTGGATTACTTTTGGAACTATTTCGATCATATCAAATCATGACCTCCACATGTGTTTTTTTCTCCATTCCACCCCATTTTTAGAGCTGTCCCACTTCTTTTTGGCACAGCACTAGGACTAGTTTTTTAAATGTCCTCTTCTGTAACTCATGTGGATGGTTAATTCACTCTCCGATAGAGCTGTGGGTGATTTTATCTGAGGTGACAGTTCTGTGGCACATTTGGTTGGTTGTGGCATTGAAAAGGATGACGGAGAGCCCCCTCTTTTTATCTATTCTGCTGTTCTAAATTTGTATATACATGTTTTAATGATGCAGTGCTTTTCTAGATGAAGAAGAAACAGTAGCGGTGTTATGTGTACCATGATGATGCATTGCCATTTTGCTGTATCACTTCATAATATACAATCGCACATCTATAGAGACATGATGACTACGGCAAAAAGCAGGGAAGGGGATAGAAAAGGGAGTGTCATTAACAGAAAGGGAGACAAGTTGGAGCGACCCAAAGACCTGTCTGGACCCTTCTCATTGGAGAAAAATTTTGAATGGAAGGATTACTCAAGTGAGAGATAAAATAGATTGTACTAAAAATAAGAACCTTATAAGCATGAATCAGACCGCTTCAGCTTCCTCTGTTTGGAGATCCCCTCACTGGATCAAATGATACTTTCTAGAGGAAGAAAAGTATGAAATTAAAAACATACCATTTTCTCTTCTTCAGTCAATGCAGCATTCCTTATGTTGGGAACAGAATCTCATCATAAGTCAAGTGTTCCTAAAGCACCAACAAAAGAGGAAGCATCCCTAAGAGCATACACAGCACGATGCAAATTAAACAAACTTCGTCGATCAGCATGCCATTTGTTTACCTGTGATGAGATGGTTAGAGCAATAAAACGGCTGGAAATTGAAATTGAAGCAAAGCGCTTGCTAGTTCGAAAGGACAGACATTTGTGGAAAGATATTGGTAAGAATGAAACAAGAGTCTTGATTTTGTTACTTGTATATACAAAAAGTTGTGCAATATTAGAATATTATTATTATTATTACACATAATAAAGCAAGCAGGTCTCTATGCCCATTAACCATTTCACTGTGTAACCTTATGTAATACGCAGGAGCAGGTGACACTTTTATTGGACCACTAAAAAATAAAACAAAAACCAGCAAGCTTTCAATGATAATACATCTTCTTTAGGCTGTGCACCAGGATCTTGTGGGTGGTTCCAAAATTATATGCTTTTATTAAAGTCCCAAACTCTCATAGCCATTGGGGCCAGGTTAAGCTTTTTAGGTGGAAATGGCTGCAGTCTGCAAGAGACCTGAACTTATACTATCTTTCTCAGCCACATTTCATCTTGTCATGCTCTTGTCTTGTTCTTTGCAGGAGAGAGACAGAAAATCCTCAACTGGCTTTTATGTTACAACCCACTATGGCTACGCATAGGTCTGGAAGTAAGTTTATAACTTCTAGATTAAAGGCTGGGAAAAGAATCTGCTTCAGTTAATGAATGAACTACTTTACATCATGAACTGTTTCCACATACCAACATGTGGTGGTGTTCCTTCTATCACTTTCTTTTGTTGCTTAGTCATTAAGTCGTGTCCGACTCTTCGTGACCCCATGGACCAGAGCACGCGAGGTCCTCCTGTCTGTCACTGCCTTCCAGGGTTGGGTCAAATTCATGTGGGTAGCTTCGGTGACACTGTCCAACCATCTCATCCTCTGTGATCCCCTTCTCCTCTTGCCTTCACACTTTCCCAACATCAAGGTCTTTTCCAGGGAGTCTTCTCATGAGATGGCCAAAGTATTGGAGCCTTTCCTTCCGGTGAGCACTCGGGGTTAATTTCCTTCAAAATGGGTAGGTTTTTCATCTTTGCAGTCCAGGGGACTCTCAAGCGTCTCCTCCAGCACCACAATTCAAAAACATCAATTCTTTGGCGTCCAACCTTCTTTATGGTCCAGCTCTCACTTCCATACATCGCTACTGGAAAAAACATAGCTTTGACGATGCAGACCTTTGTCAGCAAGGTGATGTCTCTGCTTTTTAAGATGCTGTCTAGGTTTGTCATTGCTTTCCTCCCAAGAAGCAGGCGTCTTTTAATTTCGTTGCTGCTGTCACCATCTGCAGTGATCATGGAGCCCAAGAAAGTAAAATCTGTCACTA